AAATGGCAATCTAGTATTCTTGCCTGGAAAATCCTGTGGACAGAGGTGCCTGGCAGGTTACAGTCCATGGGGTCGCAAAGAGTTGGACATGGCTGAGTACACATACACACATTTGTATAATATAGTGTGGTATCATGCAGTAATATCATTCTTGCATATGATACCAGAACCTAATTTATGAGATGTGTCACACATGTTTAACTACTCATGCACATGCTATATTTATTCTGTGTTTTTTGGTGCATCTTCCCAGAGGCGAGAAGCTCTTTGAAGACAGGAACCACATCTAATTTATGTTTTGCTTTCTCACAAAGCTTCGCATGTAGCAAAATTTTCCATAAATATTTGCTGAAATAAATCCTACATCTAAATTTCATGGCTTAAAATGACACACATCTATCTTCAGAGTGTTTCTTCTGCCTGTTGGCTTATGTAGGATAAATGTATTAATATGTATCTATGCAAGCATACCCACTAGATATATGATCACCAAAGTACTTCCTTGGGCATCTTTCTGTAAATCTGGACTTTCCTCAGCCTCAAATCTAATTTTTCCACTTATTAGCTCTGTTACTTGGGCAAGTCACTTTATCTCTCTGAGCTTTATTTTAATAAATTGAGACAATAATAATGCATTTTCCATGAACTGTTGTCAAATAATATATTAGATGAAGATTACAAGTGTCATTATGGTTTTTATTTTTATCACAGGAAGTGAGATTCTTAACCACCAAGGTTTGCTGGGGGGTTTATAGGTTATAGGTGACTTTTAAATTTGTTTTCATTGGTAGGTACACATTTTTTTTTTCCTTCCCAGTATGACTGTCTCTATGTGGGCACACACAGTCTAAGATGCTCTGTGTTATCTCAAACAGGAGAAGGAAGTGACCCTGCTTCCTTCCTGTAGTGGCCTGCGCTGCAGAAACCATCTGAATTTTTAGACTTTGGTTAAGCCTCAGAGGCCATTATTTTGGGACCTATATTCACAAGGTGGAAGATCCAGCACCTAGGAGGAAATTAACAGTGTTCAGTTCCACATGCGTGCGTGCATGCTCAGTCGTGTCCGGCTCTTTGCTACCCCATGGACTGTGGCCCACCAGGCTCCTCTGTCCATGGGATTTTCCAGGCAAGAATACTGAAGCAGGTTGCCATGCCCTTCTCCAAGGGATCTTTCCAACCCAGGATCAAACCTGTATTGGCAGGCAGAGTCTTTACCACTGCATCACCTGGGAAGCCCGTTTAGCTTTAAGCCTTTATGTATAAAGTGACATCAGTTATTGTCACTGTTAATATTGGGGCACTAGGTACATGGGATTCCTGGGCTATTTACTCTGTTCACAGTGGCAGGATCTGGGATGGATGGATGGATAAATGAATGAATGAGTGAATGAATGAATGAATAAATGAGAAGACTCTGAAGGAACAAGACAGGATAGATTAGGTTTAAATAGCCCTTAGTCTCAGATCAAAACTGAAACAGCAAAAGTTGGAAGTTCTGCTTCAGACTGGAAATGAGGGGTATAAAACAGATCTAGTATTGTTTCATGACACTACAAAAAAGTGGAAAACTACTATTAGGTCTCTATTTTACCAAAATCAGGAAATTCCCAACCATAAACATCACCTAAAGTCTCTGAGGGGCTTCCTTGATGGCTCAACAGGTAAACAATCTGTCTAAAATGCAGGTGACACAAGAGACTCGGTTTCAATCCCTGGACTGGGAAGATCCACTGGAGGGGGAAACGGCAGCCGACTCTAGTATTCTTGCTTGAAAAAATGCCATGGACTGAGGAGCCTGGTGGGCTACAGTCTGTGAGACAGCAAAGGGTCAGACAGGACTGAGTGACTAATGCTCGCAGTCTCTGAGAATTTTGGGTAGGAGTTTCTCTCTACTTGAAGTAGCCCTTGAAAATATTTCTGAGAATTCCAAGGTGTACTCCTAAGAAAGCACGGTGCTATAGAATGGGTTCGAATGAAGCAAACTTTAACGGCTTATTCACAAAAGAGTGTTATGAGCTGGAACACATTGAGAATGCTGGGTGGTAGGTAGTACTTTCTGAGGCAAACTCTTTGTTTTTCTTCTCTGTTTTATTCAAGTGAAACTGACAATGATTCTTAACAAAATAGGTCTGACTCATCCTATTATTCATTTGCTTTGTGCTTCTGTGTGTACATGTTTCATCTTCAGGCACATTTTGTACCTGAAAGCTTGCTAGAACAATGACTAAACTTGCACTGTATCATTCAGAATCTTCTTTCCAGATGCAAAAACTTGTAAGTCAGAAAAAGCTGTAAGCAAATATGTAAGAACTGGGATCCAGGTACAAGGTGACAAGGACCTAGATGTGTATCTTCCCAAAGGGATCTCAAGAAACTAAAGGTCCCTCCTTCTATAAAGGATAACAAGCTTATGATAAAGAAGAATATAAAGACAGGGATATAGAGCTGAACTCTTTAAAAGATAGAGTGCATGATTGCAGATATGTGAATGACTATTCATTGGAAAATGAAGTAGGATTATTCAACTCTGCTTTAATGTGCAGAATCTACCTTGGGAATTTCTACCTATGTGCCTGTTTTTTTTTTTTTCTTTTTTTTCCCCTATGCATTCTTCTAGCCAACCCAGAAGAGTTTATCACTGTTCTGTGCTCCTAGAACATTCCATAGAAAGTACATTTATACCACCATTATAGCTCTTGAGAAACTGTGTAATAGTTATGAGCCTATGTCTTCTCTGGTTATGATTTTGGCAAGGAATTCCTAATGCTTAAACACATTTCTAGCATGTCATAAGTACTAAGTAAGCTTGCTGGATGAGCGAATAAATGAATAAAGAAAGAAGTGGATAAATTAGCCAGCTTTAAGTGTTAGTCAATCAGTTGTGTCCAACTCTTTGTAATACCATGGACTGAAGCTCACCAGGCTCTTCTGTCCATGGAATTCTCCAGGCAAGAATAATTGGAGTGGGTTGCCATTCCCTTCTCCAGGGGATCTTCCCAACCCAGGGATCAAACCCGGGTCTCCTGCATTGCAAGCAGATTCTTTACCATGTCAATCAATATTTTCTAGAAGGGCTTTCCCATGATGGGACATTTATCTCTCATAAAGTTGTGACTTTTATAATTAATGGAAAGACTGGGAAAGGATTGCTGAAGACACACTGTCTCCCAGATACCTTTTTACTTTAGTTTTACAGATGAAACACTGGAAATCAAACAGCTTGAGTAACTTATTCATGGCTCTTAGATAGTAAAGGGTGAAATTAGAATTCAAACATCGACTTGTATACACCCCACTCTTCTGTTTTTCCTTGGGAGACATTCTCTTTCCAAGGCACTGCTTAAGCAGAGACTGAAACATGGTCTAAAAGGTGATGGAGAAGAGGTGAAAGGTCAGATTAGAGCACTAACTGACTCTGTGTTCAACAGAGTTATACCACTCTTGGAAGAAGAAATCACACACGATTCTATGTCTCTGCAAACTTAACACCTAGCAAAGGATACAATGATACTTCTTAAAAGATGATGCCTCATTGGTTACAGCAAGTTTGGAGGTACAAAGGGAAAAGAAAATATTCAGTTTTTCAGCTCAATGTCTATAAAATGTAGCTATTGATCTTTAAACCTATTGTTAAAGTCCTACTTCATATTTCTAAAGCCAAAGAGTCTCCTTTGTGACCAACAATAGAAAACTATCTCCATCTTCCATTAAGATCCTTACTGCCCTTTCCATATGGAAAGTTGGCAATTGTGTTAAAAAGCAATTATCTTTCAGTTCTAGTGGAGGGCTCAGCAACAGTTAATTAATTCTTTCCCTTTAAAGTTCAGTATTATTACTTTCTGGAGAAATTCCAGATTTTAACAGCTAAACCATCCAGAAATAGATGAGGCTTAAGTGGCTGAAGAGAATTCTATTTTGCATCCATACATCTGAGTGCCCTTGGTATGAATCCAAGAGGTAATCTAAACCATGTAGCAAGCTATGTGAATGCCCATGGTTTGGTGGAAACACAAAGAATTGTTCCTAGTGGCTTGTGATCACAGAGTCCTCAATCTCAATGAGCCAGCATTTAATGTTAAATTGGAGGGAAGACTACTAAAACACTTGATTGCTTCAATTTTTACGTGAGAAAGAATAAAAATGTTTGATCATCAGAGTAGAAAGAATAAGATGTCCAAATGAGGCATATGGAATTTTTCTGCTTCTTCTTGCCAAAATGGTCCATGTCAAATTTAATACTAAAGACAATAATTTGAGGACAAATTACTGAAGAAGAGCATTGTTGGTTAAAAGTGCCATGTCTGAGATTCAGTTTCTGTGATTCAACTCTTGAGAGTCAATGCAATCAATCCTTGCCCTTGAAGAAACCTGCTCTTAGAAGAAGATGATGTGTATATAGACTTCAAATTTACAATTGCAATATTACCTAATAATAAAGGTAGCATTCATGAAGCGCTTTCTTTGAACTATGCGATTTACATATAACCATACTGCATTCTTTAGCTCAGTGGATCTCTGCACTGTAGCTATACAGGTGGTCATTTTCCTCTTGTCCTTGCATATATCAGACTTGCTCTGGCCTCAGGACCTTTGTACTTGCTGCCCCTGCTCATGTTTTAACCTCTAGATCAAATATTTTCTCTTCATAAATGTTTCTATCACTTCTGGAGCATAAAGATTCCTTTCCAACCTCACCATCTGTCTCTCCCCTTTCTGTAGCCTTGTTTATTTTCTTTATTCCAGATTTTATCAACTATTCCATTCTGTTCATTTCTTTTTTTTTTTTCTGCCTATTTTCTGTTTTCCTTACTTTATTGAAGTACGTTTTGTGAAAGCAAGCCTCTAGGATGCGTTCCCTCTCCACTGAATCCTTAAGAGTCTGAAATAGTTTTTGGCTCATATCAGGTACTCCATAAATATTTTTAGAATGAATGAATGATGATTGGATGAATGCATTTTTCAATTAAAAAACCCTCAGGGAAAAAGAGATTTCTACTCACCTGTACCACACCTGTACAGGAATCCAAAAAGATACAGCCTTTGGGTTCTTTGGATATTTTTTCATCTTTATAGAAGTTCATGATGTAGGAATTATCTGGCAACTGAGTCAGCTGGAAGAAGCGCTTTTTGAATGACTGAATAAAGGAAAAAAATATGAGGAGGTAGTTCAAATTCATGGAAATTAGAATTTTCTAATCCCTTCAAGAGTGCTACATTTCTGGAGCACTGTTCTGAGAAGAGCATCTTCCTTTCTCATAAATAAAATATGACATGAAACAAAAACTCAATGCAAATAGCTCACCTCAGTTTTGTGACTAAAGAGGGGGGTGGGTGTCAAGAAAGGTGGCAGACACAAAAATGAGTCTCTATGTCTCCTTACCCGAACAGTAATGGTGTTATTCACGGTGCTGTTAAAATTCCCCTTGTAGAGCCAACCAGACTTGAAAACTCCGGTCCCTCCCGTTCCCCCTCCGCCCTTGGAAGATGAGTGGGAAGTGGTATCCTGTACAAAAGGCATCATTAGCATCACGGCAATCTTTTGTGAATCCCAGATCTTAGACACTGCACTTAAAAATGAGACTCCCTTTTTCTCTGACTCATCTTAAATAATCATGTTCAATTTCAAAACAAACGTGATTCATTTTGTCTAAAAAGCCTCACACCAACGGTTACTGCAGCTTTAGGAGAAACTAGTCTGAATTTCAAACATGTTAGACGGGAACTAATTGTCCTCATGTTTTAAACATTTCACTTTCAACCATTTACTTACTTCATCCTTATCAGCATCTTCATGGTCAACCTCAAAGGAATGTGAAGGAAGTTTCTCTGGTTTGTATTCTGCTCTGATATTAAAAAAAGAAGAAAAAAGATTCTGATTTGTCATTTGAGACATTGCTTTCAGCTGAGTAACAGTTACTGTGGTGACTTTCTCATAGACTTTTATAAAATAATGTAATTTCGAGTGGGGCCATTTTCTCTGGAAGTACTAACTCGCCCCCTACACCATTATATCTTATCTCCAGTAAATAAATCTCCATTTTAAACGACAGAGTTATTATTTGCACAGATTTACACATGTCCTTTTTAATTAGATGAAGGCAAATGAGACAATTTTTAAGGGCTTGGTGATTTATATTTTTCTTCTTCCACATTTTGAAGTGGAATATAACATAGCAATATTTTCATTATTTTTTTCCCCCTTTGCTTTTATGTGACAGGCCCAAGGCTATAGGATGGTCATTTGAAAACCAACCACTGCTCTGGTCACTAGGCTGTGCTGCTTCCCAGCCCTGGCGTCTCCCAAAAGTCTGCATCAATGTGCCTTAGTGGCATTTATGCTCACTTTAGGCATTTCCACAGTAGCACAGAAACACCTCTCAGTCAGACCATTGCTGACCAGTCCAAAGGAGCAAGAGTGTTCACTTGGCTCTATAAATGGTAAAATAAGACAGAAACAAACCTTCCTTGACTTAATTCTATCTCATAACACATGGTTGAATGGAAACCAGATAGAATCATCCAAGCTTCAGGCATTCCTTTATACCAAGCCAGGAAATCCTACATGGAGGATTTGCAAGGTAGAGTTCTTTTCTTTGAAATGATTTACATTATGTAGACGCAACCTCAGAATCTGACTACTGAGAAAAAGGTCACAAGCACATTCAGTAATTCCATTGCAAGTGGTTTCCTATCTTGATGGTATTTCACACAGTAAGGTGAATAACCAAGGATTCTTTATATGCATATACATACATGAAAGTTAAAGTATTAGTTGCTCAGTCATGTCTGACTCTTTGAGACCCCATGGACTGTGGCCTCTGTTCATGGAATTCTCCAGGCCAGAATACTGGAGTGGGTGGCCACTTCCTTCTCCAAGGGATCTTCCTGACCCAGGGATCAAACCCAGGTCTCCCACATTGCAGGCAGATTCTTTACCAGCTGAGCCTCAAGGGAAGCCCAAGAATACTGGAGTGGGTAGCCTATTCCTTCTCCAGAAGATCTTCCTGACCCAGGAATTGAACTGGGGTCTCCTGCATTGCAGGTGGATTCTTTACCAACTGAGCTATCAGGGAAGCACACTTGTACAGGTATTCATAAAATCACCAAACTGTTCATTCACATAGAAATTCAGTGGATTCAAATGAATTCAAAATATCCTTTACCCTTCTTCTGAAAGACCTAGAAATGCCCATTCCTCTACTGTGCTCTGACAGTAGAGGAAGTCAGAGCACAAAAAGAACATTGACCTCACTATTAAATTGTGAAAAGCCTGAAATCAGAACCATGGTTTCCACACCTGATAAACATTTTGTTTTGTTTTTTCCCCTATTGTGGTGAAATATACATAACAGAAGAATTTGTATTTTAACTATTTTCATATGCATGGTTCAGTAGCATTAAGTGGATTCATACCATACGCCCATCATCACTGACCATCTCCAGACCATTTTAATTCTCAAACTGACTCTGTATCCATTAGACAATAACTTTGCATTTCCCCCTTTCCTCAGCCCTGGGTTATCATTGTTCTACTTGCTGTCTCTAGGTTTTTGACTATTCTAAGTACATCTTATGAGTGGAATAATGCAACATTTATCTTTTTGTGTCTGGCTTACTTTATTAGAATAATGTCTTCAGGGTTCCTTCATACAGTAGAGTGTGTCAAGAGTTCACTCCTTTTGAAGGCTGAGTAATATTCCACTGTAACCTGATAAGAGTTTGTGCCCCCAAAGTAGTTTCCATGAAGGTATCCTGGATCTACAGAATTAGAACCCTTTCCCTGTAGATTCTGAGTATACGTCTCTCACAATGTTTGCCTGGTTCTGTTATTTGGACACTTGTCTTAGCCCTCCATATGATTAGACATTTCTTAAAGCCAGAGACTCTAATGAAGTCCCATCAACATCTCAGTTTTTTCTTTCCTGTTGTAGCCATGCTCAAGATTCATTGCTGATTGAATTATTGATAAGCAAGGTGAATAGGGATAGTATGAAAAGGCATACTTTAAAACTTTGTTTTTGTCAGGGACCGTGGTGATATTCTTTTTTAGCAGTGGAGACATTCTGAGTGATCAAAATCCTGAGACAACTCCAACATGTTAAATAGGCTTTTATTTATTTATTTTTAATTAATTTTTATTGGAGTATAGTTGCTTTACAATGTAGCGTTAGTGTCTACTGTATGGTGAAGTGGATCAACTCTTTGTGTACATTTATACCCTCTATTTGGGATTTCCTTCCCATTTAGGTCACCACAGAGCGCTGAGAAGAGGCCCTTGTGGTATACAGTAGGTATTCATTAGTCATCTATTTTATACACAGTATCAATAATATATATATATATCTCAATCTTAATCTCCCAATTCATCCCACCTCAACTTTTCCCACTTGGTGTCCATATGTTTGTTCTCTATGGCTGTCAATAGGTTTTTTAAAAGTATCTTATTATTTATTTTAGAAATAAATACTGAATTTATTTTATAAATTCAAATTAATGAAAGTTGCTTGCTACCAAAATTCATAACTAATAAATATAAAGCTGTTCTGGTGTACACACTTCTTGATTATTATATATGACATCTGGAGTCTCAGTTCAGCCCTAATTCCAATTTATTTCTCTATTTTGTTTTGGTTGCACAGTCCTGTTAGGACATCCCAGCACCCATAGATAAATAGCTGTAAATAGTAACAGTCTAATTTAAAAGCCGGAGGTTTAAAAGAAGAGTGGTAGGAAATGTGTATTTCAAAATTATTATCCCCACAGGTTCTGACACACGGTAAGTGATCAATAAATATTTGTTAATTAATGTGTATGAATTTACTTGCTTGGGTATGTGTTAGTTCAAATTTCAAAAACATATTAATACATAATACAACCTTCTTCATCCATGATTTATTAGAAAGCTCAAAAATATACACCAAGAGTGCAGAAATTTTGTACTAAAGTCTTAATATGTACTAAGTAGCACATTTGTTGTTGTTTGGTTGCTAAGTCATGTCTGACTATTTTGCTACCGGATGGACTGTAGCCTGCCAGGCTTCTCTGTCCATAGGATTTCCCAGGCAAGAATAATAGAATGAGTTGCCATTTCCTCCTCCAGGGGATCTTCCCAGCCCAGGGATCGAACCCACGTTTCCTGCATTGGCAGTCGGATTCTTTACGATTGAGCCACATGAGAAGCCGAAGTAGCACATTGCTTTTTATTAAATTGTATACATGTATAATCAGACTTTTGTACACAAATACTGGGAATCCATGTCTCATCTAATCTTGCTAGTTTGCTGCGAAGAAGATGAGGTTCATAACAGTTACTCACAGAAACACTTAGTGAAAGAGATGAGGTCAGACACCTTATCTCTGAAATGTTACTTCTTATATTAAAGACAGGTTGGTCCAAATCAACTTTAATAAGCATGTTAAGTATGATGGCAGCCATTTTTCTCTTCCAAAGGATTTCTGGTGTATCTAGTTCTTTCTGCTTCTTGCAAAACCTTAGAGATACTCAAGTCTATCTGTGCCCAGCTGCCACTGATGTTAACTTGTTCTGCCTCTTTTGTTAGGGTCAGGCGGTACTGGTGGTAAAGGACCCACCTACCAATGCAGGAGATGTAAGAGACACAGGTTCTATCCTTGCACTGGGAAGACTCCCTGGATGAGGGCATGGCAACCCATTCCAGTTTTCTTGCCTAGTGAATCCCATGGACAAAGGACCCTGGCGGGCTACGGTCCATAGGGTTGCAAAGAGTTGAACACGACTGAAGTGACTTAGCATGCATGCATGCAAGTCAGAAGGCAGAACACTGATGTAGCAGACCACACTGTTACTTTTGGACTCCTGAGTTCTTTCTATCACACCCAAAATTCTCCTCCTCTCCTTAACAATGTCCTGACACTCCTTGAACCAGAAGCAGTCCCTTTCGCCTTTTCATTTGATTGGCAAAAGAAAACCGTGAAACACGACCCTTTCCTCAAATTCTGCTCCCATGACAGGTGACAGGTTGCCTGAGATTCAAAGGCAAGTTTTCAAAGGGCTGATTTCAGAGCAATTACTTGAAGTATTTTGTCTGTAGAGGAGGAGACATGAGTATTCCAGGATTCTTAAAATGATGGCAGGGCAGTAAAGGCACTATTAAGGAAAAATCCCAAGTGAAAGATAAAGGGTTGAGTAGGGAAAACTGAGGATATGGCAACAAAGACAACTTTGAACTCGAAAGGTCAATATTTGGCTCCACGGTGGCCCTAAACTATATGCTAGTCCTTCTCTGTCAGTCTCCCTTTGACCTGGACACTAGTCATTTCTGAATTCTTTATTCTGTCCTCTTTTGTCATGTGACTTTGCCTTTCTTCTCTTTCTCATAAAAGAATAATTTTATAGATATTTGATAATTGTGGCTTGCAACAGTGGCCATGTTCTACAGTCCAACTATCATTTCTGCAAAGATACTTATAAAAGTGTAAAGAAAGGAGAGAAGGAACAGCCTTTCAAATTATTAATGAAATAACAAAGAATTAAGGAAACAAAGTCAGGCTTTCATGACTCTCAAATGTATAAGGCTAAATACTTGTGAGGGTTTTCCCACAAATCTCTCAGCAGAGAACTGGTAATTGAGATAGCCTTAAAAGGACAGACAAAGTTTCACAAAAGTGCATGATCTTAAAGTGACTTATGCACAGTTTAGCTCAAAATGCTGTATCCACAGTTCCACAGGGAACGAACCTGAGTTTCTTGCATCTCCTGCAATAGTAGGCAGGTTCCTAACCACTGTGCCACCTGGGAAGCCCAAAAATAAACTGTAGTAGATCCACACAAAGGAATGTTGCTCAGAAGGAGAAAGGAGTTACC